GCCTGTGAAGACCTTGTTTCTATAGATTGTCTCTGTAAATTTCTGGTCTGTATTAGTCTTGGCGTCTTTCTTCTTTTATAGAACGGTCCTTAATATTTCTTGCAGGGCCCGCTTGGTGGTCATATATTCTTTCAGTTTCTGCCGGTCTTGGAAGCTCCTTGTCTCTCCAGCCATTCTGAATGACAGCCTGCTGGAGAAAGTATCCTTGGCTGCATGTTCTTCTTGATTAGTACCCTGAATATGTCTTGCCAGCCCTTTCTGGCTTGCCAGGTCTCTGTGGACAAGTCTGACGTTACTCTTATGTTACACTGATGTTCCTCCCTCTGTACGTAAGAAATCTCTTTCCCCTAGCCGCTTTCAAGATTGTTTCCTTGGATCTAAGATTTGCAAATTGTACAAGTATATGTCGGGCAGTCGTTCTATTCTCATTGATCTTGGGAGGGGTCCTCTCTGCCTCTTGGACACGAATGCTTGTTTCCTTCCCCAGTTAGGGAAATTCTCATCTATGGTTTGCTCAAATATATTTTCTAGACCTCTATCTCTCCACCGCCTCAGGGAGCCCAATAATTCTGACATGGAGCGTTTCATTGTGTCATTAATCTCTCTCAGTCTGATCTCTTGGACTTAAACTGTTTTTCCCATGCCTCCTCGGTTTCCTTCTTTTCTGTCATCTTATCCTCTAGCCCACTAATTCATTCTTCTGCCTCGTTTACCCTGGCAGTCAGAGTATCCAGTTTAGACTGCATTTCATTCGTAGCATTTTTAAGTTCAGCCTGATTAGATCTCATTTCTGCACTTAGAGATTCTATATTGTTGCTAATATTTTTCTCAAGCCTAGATATTGACTTCATAATTGTTACTTTGAAGTCAATTTCTGACATCTTGTTTATATCCATATCCATTAGTTCTGTGACAGCGGCCTATAGTCTCTGATCCTTTTCTTCTTTAGGGGTTCCTCCTCTTAGTCATTCTGTTGGGGGCTGGTTGAGGGAATGTATAGAGTCCAAAGTATTAACCACGACCCAAGCAAGATGCACCTGTTTTATAGGGACCTTAGGGTTGTCGTCCTCTTGTTCTTCCAGGCTGTCTTCTGGTGGAGGGGCTTGCCGCACTGTTACTCAGACAACCCTGCTTAGGCAGAGTTGCCCTGCCCCCTGTTGGGGGGTAGAAGGGGCCTCAGTGAAAACTGGTTTTGGGGGGATGTTGTTCTCTGGCGGCTTTTCCTGGAGGCTTTCCATGTCTCTTCCAAGAGTCAGAGCAGAAGTGACCACATCCAAACCTCTGTCTAAGAACAGAGAAATCGCAGTCTGACCTTCACTGAGCTCTGCAGGCCACACTGTCTCCGTTTCTGTCTGCACTGCTAAAAACCACAGCCTCTCCAGTTGTGCACCCCACAGCGACACTCCCAGCAGTGGAACCCAGAGCCGGCCTGTTTCTGCCCTTTTTGCTTCTAAAACTTAGGGCCACCGGGGCGCCTGGGTGGCTCAGTCATTAAACATCTGCCTTCGGCTCAGGTCATGAACTCAGGGTCCTGGGATCAAGCCCCATATTGGGCTCCCTGCTCAGCGGGAAGCCTGCTTCTCCTTTTCCCACTTCCCCTGCTTGTGTTCCTGCTCTCGCTGTGTCTTTCTCTGTCAAGTAAATAAATAAAATCTCTAAATAAATAAATAAAACTTCGGGCCACCCCCAGTCCACGTGCAAGCACCCGCAGCTCCTGGATCCTGTCTGGGGGCTGCACTAAAGTCCTTTCCCCGCCTCTATCGGTCCAAGTCTGTGCCTTGTCCCCAGTGCAGGACGCTTTTGTGCTCCGGTGTTATATCATGTTCCGGGCACCAGCTTATGGCGGCTCCCTCCCCCTTCTGTTTATCTTCTGATATCTGCATGCAGAATCACAGCTCCCAGCTTCTTACCTCTAGACCGTGGGAGATATTTCTGTTTGTAGAGATCTAGATTTATATTCTTACATCTCAGGCTGATTTCGTGGGTGGTCAGAATGGTTTGGTAGATATCCAGCTAAATTCAGGGGACCGTTTGATAAAGGGTCCCCTACCTCTCGCCATCTTTTCCCATCCCTATAGCATAAATTCTTAATGGAATTCCTAGGTTAAAGAGTATGTGATGTCATGTGTGACTTTGATAAATATTGCTACATGGTTCTCCATACAGAATAGTTGCCAGCAATGTATATGAATACCTGTTTCCTCACACTCTTGCCAACAGTATGTTATCAACAGTGTGTTATCAAACAGGTATAAAATGGTAACCAGTGTCAGCTTCTGCCTGCCCTCTACTTTCATTTTCAACTACTACAAAAAAACAGTACCCAGAAGTCCCGGGTTCCCATCACCCAACTTCCCCCAATAATTCCCACCTTAACATAATTATATTATGTTATCCAAACTAGGAAATTGACATTGGCACAATACATTAATTGATCTGCAGACCTGACATGAGTTTCACCAGTTTTGCAGGTACTTGCTATTTTATGGGGAGAGGAGTAATATCTTCGTGTATAGTTACACTTTATCACATGTGTATATTTGTATATTCACTTCCATCTTCAGGATACAGAGTTCTGCCATCCCCATGAAAAAACTTGTTCTTGCTCCCCTTTGTAGTAACCACCCCTTCACTAATAGAGTAGCCCACTGAAGTCTGTTTTTTATTTGCCGGGTGTAGTTTTAATTTGTTTTCTTTTATAATTGAGGTCAAGTATCTCTATATGTTTAAGAATCACTTTTATTTCCTTTCCCCTTAACTGTCAGTTCTTTTATACATTATTTGTCTTTTGAGCTGTTTTTTCTTTCTTTAGGGAAATTAGCTCCTTATGATATGAGATTAAAATCCACCACCCTCGGGCGCCTGGGTGGCTCAGTCGTTAAGCGTCTGCCTTCGGCTCAGGTCGTGATCCCGGGGTCCTGGGATCGAGCCCCATATCGGGCTCCTTGCTCCGTGGGAAGCCTGCTTCTCCCTCTCGCGCTCCCTGTGCTTGTGTTCCCTCTCTCGCTGTGTCTCTCTCTGTCAAATAAATAAAATCTTTAAAAAAAAAACAAAAAACCCACCACCCTCCAGTTTGCCATGTCTTTCCATAAGTGACTTAGCATTTATATCACATTCTTGATGCAGATATTCTTCCTTGCTAATGACTTTGATTTCTTAATATTTTGCAGACACTACGATAACTCTTGCCATAGTGGTGGACAAGTTGTCACCTCGACTGGCTCAGCTCAAAGTTCTGCATAAAGTATTTAGTACTGGAGTAGCAGAAGTTCCACCTGACACTCGAAATGTTGTTCGGGCATCTCACCTACTCAACACACTGTACAAGGCCATTCTTGAATATGACAATGTTGGAGAAGCCTCTGAGCAGACGGTATGTAAGACCTTTGTCCTAAGTTGTATGACTCCATTCTGTTCAGCCAAAGGAGTGGTAGATAGCCTGTTATAGCTCTTTGTAAAAATAGTGCTTAAATCACACTGTGTCAGACAGCTGTTCAGAGTTTTTAAATTAGCTTCTAACTTCAAGGCTACAGGAAACTGGCTTCTTGGCTTTAATCACAGAGATCATGGGGAGGATGCAGCAAGGACAAAGCAAAACATAAAAGCAAGATGTGAAAAATACCTAGCTGACTTCTATAGATATTTGCATTAACTCTTTTTTCAATAAAAATACAAATCTATTATATAAGGTATCTAGAGTAGTCAAATTCATAGAAACAGAAAATAGAATGGTGCTGCCACAGACTGGGAAAAGGAGAAAAGGGAAGATGTTTAATAGGTACAGTTTCAGTTTCGCAGCATAATGCCAGAGATCTGTTTTCACAACAATATAAATATACTTAACACTACTGAATTGTACACTTAAAAATGCTTAAGATAGTATATTTTTGTGTTACTTTTTTTTTGCCACAATTTAAAAAAGTAACAAGAGACTAGAATCTAGAGACTAGAATCTAGAAAGCTGCATATTTGTTTGGATACACATTTTGGGTGTGTTCCATAGTTTGTTGATGTAACTTTGTTTTCTCACCATTTTGGTACTGCATTTCAGTATAAAACAGGTTGATTTCTTTCAGCTATGCAGTTTTTTTCCTACCGGGAACTATAGAATGAAATCATTTCCTCATTCTTAATGGACATTTTGTTAATAGCATGCTTTAGATAAGATAGCTGAACCTCAGTTTCAACTATCTAGCTTAGAACTCTTGTCCCTCTTTAACTTTCACTCTCAAGAGAGTCCTTGTATGGACTACAGACAATGTGGTCATCTCATATTTAGGTGAGTTTTCATAAGGATTTTATAGAGTATATTTTGGATTTTTAATTTCTTTTTGTCAAAAAACAGAAATCCGATCATTTTTTAAAAGGTGTTTCAGAGGGGCGCCTGGGTGGCTCAGTTGGATAAACATCTCACTTGATTTTGGCTCATGTCATAACCTCAGGGTTGTGAGACCAAGCCCCCCTGTCAGGCTCCATACGTATGGAGCCCTGCTTAATATTCTCTCTCCCTCTCTGTACCCCCTGCCTCGTGCACATGCTCTCTCTCTCTCTCTTAAAAAAAAAAAAAAAAAGTTTATCAGAAATGTTTAAACTTCATTTTATCCGGAGACAAGGGAGTTCCGAGAATTGACTATGCACACTCTGTCCTCAGGTCTCGCTGCTGTTCTCTCTCTGGGTGGAAACAGTGCGACCCTACCTGCAGATTGTGGATGAGTGGATCGTGCATGGGCACCTCTGTGACTGCGCTAGGGAGTTCATCATCCAGAGGTTGGGTCCCACACACATATTGGGAAATATGGGGCGCTGCTTGTACCTCTTTTCTCTCACAGGAAAATCATGTACTTTTGTTAGTTCAGGTGATACTGAGGGAGACCAGTGTGAGTGACAAAGCTGTGTTTTTACCGTAAACAAGTTATTTTGCATTTTTATAGGGGATGTCAGGTACCAAAAAAATATGTTTCCAAATTTTATTATGTCAGTTTACAGCTTTTCCTAGCAAATTCTGTTTTTTAAATGGTAGTGTGTTTATGTTTGGCTGGTACTATAAAAGGCACATTGCTTCCCATAAAATGAATTTAGGTTATATCAAATGGCTTCAACTAATTCCCATTATAAATTATCAATAGGATGAAAGATATGAAAATATTATAGAATATTCCTCTAGGGGCGCCTGGGTGGCTCAGTCATTAAGCGTCTGCCTTCGGCTCAGGTCATGATCCCAGGGTCATAGGATCAAGTCCCGCATCGGGCTCCCTGCTCGACGGGAAGCCTGCTTCTCCCTCTCCCACTCCCCCTGCTTGTGTTCCCTCTCTCTCGCTGTGTCTCTGTCAAATAAATAAATAAAATCTTTAAAAAAAAAAAATTCCTCTAATATATTTATTTCTCCAAATTAGCTAGGTTTTTTTAATTAATGTTCTTAGTATAATATTTAATAAAACAATTAGGGAAAATCATAATTCACTTATTATGATTTCCCCTTCAGTTAACTGATTTTTCTGAACAGAATCATACAAACTGCAACGTAGAACTCTCTTAACTTGGTTTTAAATTATGCAGTGTGTTTAGATGTATGGTTTTTCTGGATAGCTATCCATTTAACTCATCAGAAAGGAGAACATTAAGTCCTTATAGCTCTGAAAAGGTAACCCTGTTTACACAGTGCTCATATAAATTAGCAGGCCTTCTCTAACTTAATCATGTCTGTCGTTATATTGTTTTTCATTGATCTTGCGTGATAATTTTTGTGAAAATGGGATTCTGGTTATTCTTAAAGGGTGATGAGTGAGGGGCGCCTTGGTGGCTCAGTCATTAAGCGTCTGCCTTCGGCTCAGGTCATGATCCCAGGGTCCTGGGATCGAGCCCCACATCGGGCTCCGCAGGGAGCCTGCTTCTCCCTCTCATGCTCCCCCTGCTTGTGTTCCCTCTCTTGCTGTGTCTCTCTCTGTCAAATAAATAAATAAAATCTTAAAAAAAAAAAAAGTGATGAGTGACCATTGTTTCATTGTTAAAAGCAGTTCAGTTAAAAATTTATGTGGAGGGACGCCTGGATGGCTCAGTTGGTTAAGCGTCTGCCTTCGGCTCAGGTCATGATCCCAGGGTCCTGGGATTGAGTCCCGAGTCTGGCTCTCTGCTCAGCAGGGAGCCTGCTTCTCCCTCTGCCTGCTTCTCCCTCTGCCTGCTGCTCCCCCTGCTTGTGCTCGCTCTCTCTCTGACAAATAAATGAAATCTTAAAAAAAAAAACTATGTTGAGCGCCACCTGGGTGGCTCAGTCTGTCAAGTGTCCAACTCTTGATTTCAGCTCAGGTCTTGATCTTGGGAACTTGAGTTCAAGCCCCATGTTGGGCTGGACATACTGGATGTGGAGCCTACATTAAAAAAAAATAATCTATATAGAAAAGAAGATGCAGAAGTCTGGAGATTACTTTTATAGAAAATGGCAAATACGTAAATTTTTATTCTACCTCTAAGGAGAATCAAAGTAATCATATTTTGTTTAATTCCAATTCGAAACTTCCTACTTAGTTAAATTTTACCTGTGCCATTCAGAGTATTTATCCACTTTTCTGTGTTAAACTGAAGTCAAATAAAACCTCTGCCCCATTTTGCCTGAAGATTGCTTCATTTTACTAATGATTGATATTACTGTGTTTTGGAATGTCTGGACAACATGCCTAAGCTAGAACAGATATATATATTGTTTTTACGGCAGAAAAGTTGAAATTTAAAATTCTTTTGAATCTCTATAGAAACAAAAATGTTCCAGTAAATCACAGAGACTTTTGGTATGCAACTTATACACTATACAGCGTATCGGAAAAGACAGAAAATGAAGAAAAAATGAGTGATAATGCTAGTGCAAGTTCTGGCAGTGACCAGGGGCCCTCCAGCAGGCAGCATACCATGGTGTCCTTCCTCAAACCTGTCCTTAAGCAGATAATTATGGCTGGCAAGTCAATGCAGCTGCTGAAGAACCTGCAGTGTGTGGAGAGCACCACATCCCAGGACACAGCCAGAGGTAGCAGGTTCCTTCTTCATGTATCCTTCAGCATTCAGGCAACTGTTCTCTCTTTACTCTTGTCATCCTGAGATAGATAGTAATTATTTTGTAGTTTGAAAATTATCAAAGCCTTTTATTTTTGTGGAAATTATCACCTTGATCAAATTACTGCTCCTGTTTGAAAAGATTGTCCTCACTGGAAACTTTTAGCACTGTGTTTCAAAGGTAGTGATAGCAGTGATAATAAGTTCCACATGCTTTTTCCTTTGTCTTGATTCCTTAGAACTAGTCCTTTAAAAAATAATTTCCTGGCATTTCTTAATGCAGTGCAGCATTTAGCTGTTGAGGACCATAAATATAAACCCTGGTAGATAGGAATTTGTTGGTTTAGCAATTCAGATTTGATCATAGACTTTGAGAAAATCTTGATATGATTTATGGCCTTTTTTGATAAAATTTAAGTAATATACTTCAAGTTTTATCAACTGACTAAAAAGACTTGAAAGGTATATATGTGACCTTAATTATTTGTTTGTAAATCACCTTAATGTTACATTACTTTGTGTTATTGTATTTAAATAATACTTTCACTTTGTGGAATATTTCCTTTTTGACTGAATAATAAAATGTAATGAGCTTCCAGGGCCACTATCAGAAGTGTTTTCCCCAGTGAAATGTGGTATCCACTATGGTGATAACTTTTAAGCATCCTGCTTACGGTATTACTCTGTTCAGAAAAAATTAGCTTATACTTTGAATGTTTATGAACTTGACAGTTGTCTAACTGGATATAAAATTATTTAGTTGTACTGTACTATAGAAGTAAAGAAACAGGGATAGACTCTTATAGGCCAAAGGAAAAATACCAGGCTATATTAAGATAAAACTACTTAATATTTCTTGATGTTACTTACTATTATTTACCAGAACATAGTTTACTGTACATATTTCTTTATGTTTCAGATGCAGAAAGAAAAAGCTTGTATACCCTGTTTCTGGAATCTGTGCAGTCGCGTCTTCGACATGGAGATCCCACTGCACAGGTCCTCACTAAGCAGCAGGTGACCAAAGAGAACCTAATTAAGATGCAGTCCATTGCTGAAAGGCATCTTGAACTGGATGATGTTCATGATCCACTCCTGGCAATTAACTTTGCAAGGTGATACATACCTGCAAGATTTTGGATGATTGAAATAGCAGAATCTGTGCAGTTACTATTTAGTAACCGTTTATTTTTGCCAGGTAGGGCTTTCCACCCTTAAAAATAAAAACCTTTGTAGTTTATCCTTTCTAATGAATGCAAGAAGACATTGCGTTCGATTTGGCCTCCTTGTTTGTTAAAGCCCACAGACTTTCATGTGCTCTATATCCATTGGGAGTTGCCGTTACTCATACAGAAGATATTTCTGAAAGCCTGGGTCATGTGCAGGCATCAGTACATACACACGTGCACGCGCACACACACACCCTGCTTAAACTGCATCTTGGCCCTTAGGGACTATGAAGTAAGTCATTAATACCCACACAGCACCGTTTGTCAAATGGCCATTATTCACTGCCTGAGGCCCAGTGGCTAAAAAGATCTACTCAGTACTTGACCCTTAAGGCAGAAGTGGCTGAAAAACTTTCATTGAAGGGTATTTTGGGGGGAAGTTTCTCTCTGTAATAGGTGGTAATTTTAAGACTAAATGTAAAAATGGGACTCTGGAGTTTTGATTAAGGGAATTCTATTGACAGTTCATAAAAAGAGACTCACATTTTTATCTTAAAGGTTGTATTTGGAACAGAGTGACTTTCATGAGAAGTTTGCTGGTGGAGATATATGTGTGGATAGATCATCAGAATCTGTGACCTGCCAGACTTTTGAGTTAACACTGAGATCTTGCCTCTATCTTCATATTGATAAGCAATATCTAGAGTGCTGTGGAAACCTCATGCGAACTCTAAAAAAAGATTACAGGTATAAGGGAGTAGTTTAGTTTTGGAAGTACTCAGTAGTTTATTGTACTTGAAGAAGAGTTGAAATTATCTTAAACTTATATTTCAAGTTAATTATTTTTTTTTTAATTTTATTATGTTATGTTAGTCACCATACAATACATCATCAGTTTTTGATGTGGTGATCCACGATCCATTGTTTTTGTATAACACCCAGTGCTCCATGCAGTACGTGCCCTCTTTAATACCCATCACGGCTAACCAATCCCCCCTCCCCCCCTACCCTCTAAAACCCTGTTTCTCAGAGTCCATAGTCTGTCATGGTTCATCTCTCCCTCCAATTCCCCTCCCCCATTTTTCCCTTCCTTCTCCTAGTGTCCTCCATGCTATTCCTTATGTTCCACAAATAAGTGAAACCATATGCTAATTGACTTTCTCTGCTTGACTTATTTCACTTAGCATAATCTCCTCCAG